CTGTGGGACGCCAGCAGCGGCGCGTGCCTGCAGACACTAGAAGGTCATCATAACCCGGTGTGCTCGGTGGTTTTTTCGTATGACGCCACGCAGCTCGCCTCCGCGTCCGATGACAAGACCGTCAAGCTGTGGGACGCCAGCAGCGGTGCGTGTCTGCAGACTTTGAAGGGTTGTGGTACTCGCATTATAAAATTCGATATCATAAACTCATATGTTCAAACTAATCAAGGTGATTTTACCTTGTCTATCGTCGAAAATTCAGGAACCTCTCAAACAGGCACAAAAGGACCATACTCAGAAGGATTCGGTCTGAGTTCCGACGAAACCTGGATCACATGGAAGTCGGTGAATTTGTTGAAGTTGCCATTCATACATCGGGTTTCAACCTTTGCTTCGGCACAATCGACTATTTGCATCGGTTTCAAATCAGGACGATGTTGCATACTAAAGTCTCATTGAGTATTGCTAGCTTGCTTTTAGAGATGAATACAATATGAGTTTGTAGTTTTAGAATTATAAGTTAACTACAGTTATCTGGTCTATTTTTAGAAAATAGTATTAAGCCCTTCTTTTCTATTTTTTAGATTTTTATAAATTATAATAATTTTTAAACTAAAATAAGTTTTTTAAGCCAGCTCTTTTTATCTTTTTTAAATCTTAAGATTACATGTGTTGCAAAGAATTAAAAGATTATTTTATATTTATCTTTTTAAAACTAAATTTCTATTTTTTAGAATTGGTAGTAGAAGATAATCTTTTTTAAAGCTTGTATATATACCTGGAAACTGCTATTTATTTTTAGTTAAAAGAAATTATTAATAATATAGAATAGCTTTTAAAAGGTATATTATTTTCTAATAGAACCTTTTATATTTATTATAAAGTATATCTTTATATTTTATAATATCTAGAATTTAAAAATTTAGAAACTAGTTCTATAAACTACTATCTTTGCAAGGGTTGTAAAAAATATTTTTAGTTATATTTAAATAAATAATTATTTAAATGCTAAGTAAAGGGCTATTACAGGTATTTTCTTATTCTTTTAAAATAAATTTTTTTTAATAATTATTTTTTTAGGCCTCTACAGCCTATAATAAACAGAGTTTTTAAAATTAAATTTTATATTTTATAATTACCTGTTGCCTACCATTCTAAATAGTTAAGTATATTTAATTTAAATAGATAATTAATCTTACTGTTTTATTGTTTTATTAAAAGCCAAGCCCTTCCAGTTAAATATAGATTAAGAAATATTTTATAAAGTTATTAAAAAAGATATATATATATAGTTATTATTAAAGTTTTTAGATACTGGATATATATTTATTGTAGTAGACTGCTGGACCAGCTTTAATTAAAAAATATTTTTTATTTTAATTAGATACTTTTTAATAGAAAATATAAATTACTATAAAGTTTTACTAGACTTCTAACTAGTATCTAGATTTTATACTGGTAATATATATATTTTTATTATAAAATTATTTTAATTATTAATTAAATATATTTAATACTATTATTATAAAATATTAAAATATATAGCAGCTATATATAATCTATTTTTTTAATTTTATATTAAAGTATAAAAGCTAGTTAAAATAGTAGTAGTCGCTGCTGTAATAACTATATATATATAAACCAGCTAAAATAATTCTAATAAAAATTTAATATTTTAAGAAAATAGTATTATTAGCTTTATATATTAAAAATACTTAATATAAAACTAGAATAAATTAGTATAATATTAAAAAATAATAAATAAAATAATAAAAGTCTAACTAAATTTTAATATAGTTTATATTTTTAGATGCTTTAAAGTTAGTTGCCGGGGGCAGTATTTAGATTAAACTATTTTTTATAATATATTAAAATATTAATTAAATTTAGTAGATATAAAAATATATTAAATATATTTTTATAAATATAATCTAATATCTTTTTAGTTTAAATATAAAATATTATATAGTTAACTAAAAATAAGATTTAGAATTAGTATAAAAGTTTTAACTAATAATTAGAATATTTTTTATTATTATTATTTTAATATTTAGAATATCTATCGTCGATTTTTTAATATTTTATATCTTAAGAAGAAAATAAATTATTAAAATCAAAATATTCTTTAATATATCTTATAATATTTCTATTATCTAAATATTTATTAATATCGGCGAAATAAATATTAATATTTTTAATAAAAAAATATATTTCGGCTTGTATAATAAGAATTAAAATATAAAACTTATTTTAAGATATTTAATATAATATATTTAAAAAGCCGATAGACAAATTAATAAAAAAAATTATAAAAAAAATAAATAATAAAAAATTAAGATTTACTAAAATAAATAGATTTACCGAAGATAAAATATCAAAAAGACCGGTATTAAATAGATTACTAATATATTAAAAAAATAAGATTTTAATAAACCGGTAATAAATAAAATATATTTATTTATAGTAAGATTAGATTATTTATTATTTATTATTTTATCTTATAACTTAATTTATATTTAAAAAACTAAAGTAACTAGTATATTGAAAAATATAGTAATTAAATTAGATAAATTAAACTATTTTAAAACAGACTATATAAAAGTTTCTAAAAGACCGATTAACAGCAGACTTATTATAAAAATTAATTAAGAATATAAAATAAAAATAGAAATATAGTTAATCAGATTATTTACTATATATAGATTATAAATTTTTTAATAATTTTATATAAATATTAGAAAGTCGGGTTTATTAGTTAGATTTTTAATAAGATAATAAAATTTAATAATCTTTTAATATAAATTAGAACAGTTAAAATCCTATATAAACAGCTACTAAAAGAAATAATTTACTAAAAATAATTTAATATAAAACTAAATATATTTAATACAAAGTAAGATATTATTATCAAACTAATAAATATAAGATATTTATAAATAAAAATAAAAGTTCTAGATTTAATATACTAGTTTAGTAAGATATTCTTATTTTTTTTATTTAAATATTTATATTTTGTCGTTTTTGATATAAAGATATTTAGAAATAATAAAAAAATAAAAAATAAAAAGAATTAATAATACTAAATAAATAAAAGTAAAAAGATTTTAATATTAGATAAAAAGATAAACTGTCTGATTGTTAAATCTAAAAAATACTAAAATAATAATTAACTAATATAAAAAAGAATACAAATAACAAAAAATTAATAAAAAAATAAAAATATATAAAAAGATAAATAAACAGACAATCCATATAAAATATACTTAATATTAAAAAAAATAGATAATACCGAACTAACAAAAAACCGGCAGATATAAATACAAAAAATAATATAAAATAGAAAATAATATAAAATAAAAAAAAAGCAGCGCGGGTGTATAAAATATAGAAATTATATTTAAAAAATAGAATTAAATAGAACTAGATAAAAAATACTAAAACCAACTTTCTATATATTAATAAAAAGATACTGTTAATAATAATCAGAAGATATAAACATAATATTAATAAATATAAAAATAAATAAAGATATTACTAGCAGAAGAAGAAAAAATAATTAACAGCTTACTAAAAAAAAATCCAGAAATTAGTAGAATTAAAACTATTTATAGATATAAAGTAGAACTATTTATAAAATATAAAACAGAAGATATATAAAGATAATATTAAAAAGATAGAATTCTTAGATATACTAAAAAATTAAATATTAAAAATAAAAATATAGAACATACTACTAATTAATATAAATATTTTAATATATAGAAGTTAGTTATTATATTAATAAAAATAAGAATATAAAAAGCTGCTATAAATAGTAATATAGTAGACCAAGTTACCAACAACGCAGTCAATAATCCAAACAGAAACAACAGCTGCTTCCAGTGAATGGAAGTCGGTGACGGCCATAATAAGATTAAGCATTAATTAAATTGTACTAAAAGCTATATTTATAATTTAACTTTTATTAATAGTTTAACCGTAGTTATACTTTTTTTATAACTAAAAGAGATAAAATATAGAATCTAAGAAAAATACTTATAATTATAAACAGCTGTTATATTATAAGTATATTAACTTTCTTATAATATACAGTATATTAATATCCTAACTTTATATTAGAAACAGCCGTGTATTATTTTATTTTGGGATTACTATAACAATTGAAGAGTATAGGTAGTGACACTAGTATCCTGAAGAACTGTAACCTCTTTAATTATAAGAAGAGAACAAAATTTCTGGCCTACAAGCTGTACTTTGTTTACAGTAAACTTGTTACCTTAATACTGAACTATTCCGGCATCTCTAAATAAAATATAAACTAAAAAATTTATTCTTCACTATATTTTAGATTAATAATACTAATTTTTTTATGGCTTTTATAGAAAAGATTTTCCCTAGTGAACGAAGGGTTACTCCTAGGGACCGTGCACGCTGTTCTTATCTCACATGGCATGGTATGTCGGAGCGCTTATCTATTGTATCAAGCGATGCCGTGCCGTGATAACCGTGTAAATACTAACTAGTTAGTGGGTGCAGAGCATAAAATTGTAATAATATGCATACTGAGTAGCTTCTGATAAACAAAATATCTTCTTATTTTTTGACGACTTCCCGCAAGTTTCAAGTCTGATCTTTGTAAGATTATCTTTTTTTCTGAAGAAAGAACTAGACGAGAAGAGTGTTTGAAATTTTTTTCCAGCTGGCTGCCGTATAAGATAATCTTTTTTATATAAAAAAGCTTTTAAGTTAATTCTTTAATAATTGTAACAAACCCGCCCGCGGTTATTATAGTCAAATTATACTCCAAGCGGCCTTAGTTAATAGATATTTTAGTATAGTCGAGACGCTTTTAACCGCCGGATTAAGAGTAGATATTTTTAGAAACAATAACAGCGGCTGTACTGCGCTGGTCCTTACTGCAGATACCAGCTATTTTAGTATCATTTACTATTTAATTATTACTACAGGCGCGGATATTAGCTATTTGTCTATATAATTATATAAAGGAGCGTTGCGGTGTTCATCATGTGGCCGAGGTGCTGGTGGAATAAATACAATGTAAAGGGTCCCTCCTTCTGAAAAGTCCAACCGGATACAGTGCGGGGGAAACAGCTTTACGTCACCACCATCACCAATTCAAGCGTGGCTCTGAACAGATTCCAGCGACTGGGAAGGAAGGGTCTTCGGCGCGTGAAGACGTTGTGCTCTGGTATGCAGATTGACTGCGCCGTTCGGGACGGATGAGCCAATAGTCGGTGATATGCGATGGTCGATAAGGATTGAGGGTGGCGGAGCTGATGGGGAACCATGATTCAAACCTCAAACCTCAAGGCCGACATGGTCGCTCGCCTGAATCTTTTCTATTAGAACAAACTAGTCTCCCAGCAGATTAAGCCTGATATTCTCCAATTATCACACTGGAAAGATGACCCAATGGCTCTCGGTCTTACCACCTCATACTGCCTTGAATTTACTCCAAGCATCTAGTTTCACTGATCTAACATGCCTGCTGGGTGTTTCTTTGCGCTTCTCGCATTCCCCTCATGGAGCGGCTTTTTGTACAAAATCTCGCCTATGGGTAGCACTATTCTTCACCTCATGGAATTGATTGGAAGACAATGGCAATTCGGTCTATCTTGTTTGGCCATTTATTGTGTCCTTCATCGAATCACTTTGCACCCTTGGGAATTATGTAGAGAAGAGGCAAAAACGACTAAAGGGAGAACCCAGTTATGGCTGGCTTTCAATTGCTTCACGTCACGTTCCGACAAAGTGCAGTCGAGGCCCTATTTTCGGTGGCTTGCAGGGGCGCAGCATCGCAGCGTCTACTAAGCGCTCATACAAGCCTTGTCATTCTACCCAATCATCTTAGCCACCAAATCCGTGATAGGATGATATTTCTTGCCCACAGATTGTACTTCGACGCCCACTGTCTCCTCATGCCTGGATCTTCTCAGCCTTGCATCTTTTGATCTTCCTACCTCTACTGTGGTTTCATGACAGAAGATGGACATTCAGCCTTTGCTCCCAGTGGGCTTTCTGTGCACTCCCCTTGTCTTCCCCACTGTCTAGCACAGTGTACCAAAACTATGTGCAGCGAGTGAACCCAATGACGAGATTTATCACAGCCCAGTGCGCAAGAGACTTAAGAATGCGACCTATCCCATCCGGAATTGAAATGTCTTCTTACCATTTTCCCTTTCTCAAAACTGTTCTCGCTCGTCTCCCACGAACCTCATCACAGCATCCTCTGGTCTCGATTTGTGTTAATAACCTCCTGCAAGTCTCGACCACTGTTTCCAAAGTGGAGCCATGGAACATAGCATCGAGGAATTGAGAAAGATATATGCTGAACTGTGTGCCACCGAAGCCAAGAGAACGACCCTGGTTGAGGTTTGCGAAGAAGAGCTGAACATACGTCTGTTTCAAAATCACTAACACAGATGCTCTTAGGGCCTTTTTGCGCATATTGACGGTCTACAGCTTGAGCTGAAAGAATCGAAATGTCAAACCGAGGAATATAAAAGGCTTTATGATTCCTACCGGGGCGATTATCTGGAGTCCGAGAAACAATACCAGGCCGTACTTCATTCTCAGGTTCATACTTGCTACCTGCCCCAACCCCTAGTCAGGAGCCCGCATGCTGACTTGCAATTCCTAAGGCCAAGTTAAATTATGTCTCTGTCTTGATTGACGGAGATAGTATGAACGTCAGCCCTTCTTTCCCCGAACCTTGCAAGGAAAGCTAAGATCAGTTACTCACTCCCGACCACAGTTCCAAGAATCCTTGGTCCGAGGCGAAGAATCGGGCGGGAACAAGGCGGCGCATCTGCTGATTGAAACCATACAAACCCATCTGCGTACAGTTGATCAGGATATCTCACCCGATATATCCATCAGGATTCGTGTATACGCCAACGTCGAAGGTCTTTCCAAGGCATATCGCTGTTCCCAGATCTTGGAAAGCGATAGTTCCATGAGAGCATTTATTCATGGCTTCAATAAGGATAACAGACTGTGTGATATCGTGGATGTGGGCTATGGAAAGGAGTGTGCTGATCGTAAGCTGGAAGGTCAGTCAATCCTTCCCCTGAGATTGTCCCCGGCGCCCAACTTATGTGTAAGTCTCTTGGCTGACGATTCTCGGCCCGAACAACCTCCGCAGCTCTCTTTGTACAAGACATACGTGATGTTCACTGCCGTCGGGTCATATTCTGCGCCTCGACAGATAATGGCTATGCGCGTGTCCTCAAGCCGTATCTGGAGTCTGGGCGTATCTCACTCGGTGAAGGACCACCATTTGCGCGTGAGATGCAAGGTCTGGCAGAAACCCTACCCGTCGTGCCTCTCGGAGATGTTTTTATGGAAGAAAAGCTCAAGTCCGAGCGACGCGGGTCCTTTGGTACCTTCGAAACGGCAGACACTCCACCACGAACCCCGACACGGAGCTACGCATTGGCCGCCGCGAGGGCAGCCCTTTCGCCCCAGCCGGTGTTGCCGCTTATGACAACCACGCCGGCTTCCACCGCTACGCTGAAAGGCTTTGATGCGAAGGTGTTCCTGAACGCCAAAGGCCAACGGGTCGACCGGAGTCTGACGTACCCTAATCATGTCGCCGCGCAGTTGAGGCGTGAGAAGCTGTGTAACAGGTTTCACCTCCTGGGAGACTGCTCTTATGGCGATCAATGCACCCACAAGCATGGAGAGTCACTGTCTCAAGAGCAGAGAGTAGCCCTCACCGCTATTGCTAGACAGTCCGTCTGCACTATGGGATTTGCGTGCAGGGATGAGAAGTGTACCTCGGGCCATCGGTGTCCGAGGGAAGGTTGTTCCGGGCGGGACTGCAAGTTTCCTGCTTCTATGCACAACGTGGATACCAGGGTCGTTTAACGAAGCCGGTGTTGTTGCTGTGTTTTGTTCCGCTTGCTAGTCTATCTTTTACATTACGCTTTTGTTCGTTGCTTCCGAGGAGCCATAAACTATATATTCCGGCTGCAGTAAAGACTATTTCTATCTAAGCAAACCAGAGGCTACCAGCTACTAGTTTTACTATACAGCACCCAGCTAGTTGTCTAGCTGGCCCAATACCAGTCTGTTTCCTATAAATATGCTCAGACTTAGATTTAAACATTGAAAGAAGTAATCGCCCGGGTCGGCAAGCCCTATACCCCCGATTACTAAAAAAAAGATTATCTATCTAATTAAAGATAAAGCAGTCGTAGTCCCGTCAAATAGCAGCGTCTAAAATACCGATAGTAAAAAAAAGATATAACAAAAAGCTAGGCGTTAGAAATAGTATCTTTATGGATTAAGTAAATAAATAAAATAGACGGTTAGCTGGCGGCAGCAGGAGGATTTCTTCGCGGGAAAAAATATATACTGAAAAAAGATAGGATTATCGGATCTAAATCGGATGAAAACCGGAAAAATAGGAAATAGTATGCGGATAAAAAATACTGGAAATCAGTATACATAGTTTAAATATCGGAAGTGAATATAACAAAGCAGTTAAATAAAAATGATTAAAAGATAGTTTAATAGATTGAATTAGGATAGAGTAATATAAGGTCTTGGGGAATTATGAAAGGAGAGCTCGGGAATCTACTGTTCTGTCCAATACTTTCTTTTATAAAACTTCTCTAAAATCTGAGTCTGACTTCTAGAAGAAGAGCTTGCAATTACTCAGAACTAGATATATATTTTATAAATTATATACTGGACAACTTGGTTCCGTGCTGTGGCATCGGCGATTGGAGTTTGCCGTCTTGAATGGAGCCCGGGTCGGTGTTTGCCCCGGTCGTAGAGGACTTCTTCAGTGAAGCAAAATCGGATTCTCGGAGAAAACCCAAGAGTTGGCGACAAAAGAATTATTTCAGCCATGAGAGTACACTTGGTTGTACTCAGAATACAAGTATTTACCTGATCATTAAATTCCCATGCGAGAAGACGTCCCGTCCAGTTGTTGCCTTAGGCCTGAAATTGCCACTGATAAAGCTCTACTGCCTATCAGTGCAACGTTTATCAAGACACTAGGGCCGCCCAGTTCCAGGCGCAGTTCGATATGACTATGATGGCGTTCAACGCGGGGATCGAGCGCGTCCGCTTGCAGTGGCAAACCCTGCTGGAGGCGGCCGGTCTGGCGGTGGTTGGGGTCTGGGATTCGGTCGATGAGGGCGGCGTTGGGATTGTGGAGGCCATGAAGTTATCGTACTGTACTTAATCCTGAATACTAACCGATTGCGGGGGTCGTCCACGTCCCTAATTTGAAAATTGGTGCAGGACCCTCAAAAGCCATGGTCATATTTTGCCTGCATGCTATGGTACATACGACCACAGGGTGTGGAAAACAGGGCTTCCCGTCCGCTCAGCCGTACTTAAGCCACACGCCGGGAGGTTAGTAGTTGGGTGGGTGACCACCAGCGAATCCCTTCTGTTGTATGTCGGTGCTCACCTGTTTTTGCCATTCGTTGGGACATCGGCCCTTGCCGCTTTACTCTTCAGCCCCTTCAGGGCCTTCACCCGAACGCCCTGAAGGCCCCCTGAAGCGCTGACGTGGCCCTTTCCCTCCCTCCCACCCTCCTTCCTGTTCGTG